TCAACCTCCCAAGTAGCTGGGACTATAGGCGCCTGTCACAACGCCTGGCTAATTTTATTTATTTATTTATTTATTTATTTATTTGTATTTTTTAGTAGAGACGGGGTTTCACCGTGTTAGCCAGGATGGTCTCGATCTCCTGACCTCGTGATCACCCGCCTCGGCCTCCCAAAGTGCTGGGATTACAGCCGTGAGCCACTGCGCCCAGCCTATTAATTAATTTTAAACCCTGAATATTTTCTTCCTGCACCCTGTTACAATGCAGAATCGCAGACTCTCTCTCTCTCTCTCTCTCTCTCTCTCTTTCTCTCTCTCTGTCTTTCCATGACATTCAATTATTTAGCATATTGACTTTTGCCTTTAGGCTTGACTCTTTAGCATTACAGAATAGCTACTGCAGTTGCAAATATCACATTGTCCTCACATTTCCTTATTACCTTTATCTATCTATCTATCTATCTATTTATTTATTTATTTATTTATTTATTTATTTATTTATTTATGCTTTAAGTTCTAGGGTACATCCTTATTACCATTATTTAGAATGAGAACAGCTTTCTCAAAGGTACCTGGGTGGAATTTTCTTTGTGGCTCATTGGCTATGACTTTGCCAATGAATATCGAAAGAAGATGAAATTACCGTGATTTACTTAAACTTATCAATATTCGTCTCCTGGGATGTGGAGAAGGCACCGCTTCCTTATTAAAGCACCTGGCTGTCCAGAGCCTGACCAAAATTAGGGCTTTGTTACTAAGGAGTGTACAGGGTTGGGTAGGATAGAAAATGGCTATTGTGAGATAAAAATATCCGCAATAGGGAGTTTAAATATGGTATTTTGGGAAAAAAGCCGCAAGTCTCTGCTTTTCAGCAAATAGCTGTTTGACATTAAGTATTTTCCTCAGTTTTCTCTTCAGTAAATAAGCAAGTTTGACTAAATCAGTGATATTATATGGTAACTGGCATGATATCTCAGAGGGAAATATCCAAAGTACCTTGGAGAATTTTTCAAAATGCATACCCAAATAGCATTCCTTCTCAGAATCATGAATTCTGAGATCCTTCTACCAAAATAAAGAATTGTTTTTGAGAGTAACTATTTTAACAGTCACGCTCTTCAAGTATACTGAGGCAAAAAGAATGAGAATTCTTGGAATAGATAATTTCTAGGTCTCCTATAAGTACTGTCCTACTTTGTGTGTATATTCTAAAACATAATGCGTTTCATAAAAGGGTTTATGTATTTTTATGTCAGTTAACAAAATGTAATTTAATGTATATTCTTAAAATATAGCTAAAATTCAATTTACAGGAATGCGTTTCTCTATAACCATTATCCTGAAGTTTGTCATATAGTTCTCGTATGTTTGATAAAATAGAACATTCCCAGAATTTTCCTGAAATACCAGTTCAGATAAAATAAAAACGACAAAATCAAATACTAGTTTCGAATACAATATTAGATATGAGGAATAATGCTGCAAATATAAAGCAGTAGATGACCTCTAAGGACTTGTTCAGTTCTAAAATTATTTATATCTAGGCAATCTTCAGGCAGTCACTTATGGAACTACAGATTATCAATAACAATCAGGCAAAGAAAGTGTTTTAAACGTTCAATGTCATTCTTTGACCACAGAATCAGAAACAAATATCAAGTTGCAATGGTCTGTTGGTTTGAAAATGCTACACTAGGAGCTTTGGCCCAGTGCAATAAAGGTTCTTCAATATGTGGTGCCCAAAAGTCAAAGGTATAAAACTGAAGACAAAACAAAGAAATGGCTAAGATGAAATGCCTGTTTTAAAATAAAAACAGACTGAGGAGAAAAAAGTTTCTCTACATGGTGGGTCTTCATGTAAAAATTTTATAATCTACTGTGTCACTATGTATGAGGCCATCTGAGAATTAACTGGTGTCTGAAACTTAATTGACTGATCGATTAGCAGTTTTGTTTCACATTTGATCTTTTTTTTTTTTTTTTTTTTTTTTAGCCTCCTTAAACCTAGAGGAAAAGAATTATTTGTGGAGGAAGGGGCTTAGAATTTAAAAGACTGGGTTTAAATCCAAGATCTAACATTTCATTAATGGAGTAACCTAAGGAAAGTCTTATTCTTTTCTGTGATTATTAGGGTAATAACATTTTTACGTCATGGTGCTGTTACGGAGAATAGTAAAATACTATATGGAAAAAGCATTATAGATGTGCTAGTTGTCACAATTTTCAGTTTAAAACCAAGAAACTCTATTATATATTAGCAATATGAGGACAACAATACTTGAAATTATATAGAATTTTAAAAATTGATATGTAATATTCATATTTTAGGGGTTCATGTGACATTTTGATATACAATGTGTAATGATCAAATCAAGGTAATTGACCAACTTCAAATTGTACCATAAGGCTATAGTGACCAAAACACCGTGGTACTGGTATAAACATAGATACATAGGCAAATGGAGCAGAATAGAGAACCTAGAAATAAAGCTGCACACCCACAACCAACTGATATTTTGACAAAGTGTACAAAAACACAAACTGGGGAAAGAACACTCCATTCAATAAGTGGTGCTGGAAAAATTGGATAGCCACATGTAGAAGAATGAAACCGGATCTCTGTCTCTCACCATATACAAAAATTAATTCAAGATGGATTAAAGACCTAAATCTAAGACCTGAAACCATAAATATTCTAGAAGAAAACCTAGGAAAACTTTTCTGGACATTAGCCTAGGCAAATAATTTAAGAGTAAGACCCCAAAAGCAGATGCAAGTAAAACAAAAATAAATAAATGAGACCTAATTAAACTAATTAAAGCTTCTGCACAGCAAAACAAATAATCATCAGAGTAAACAGATAAACTACAGAAAATATTTGCAAATTATGCATCTGACCAAAGGCTAATATACAGAATCTGTAAGGAGCTCAAACAAATAAGCAAGAACAAGACAAATACCTTCATTATAAAGAGGGCAAAGGACATGAATAGACATTTCTCAAAAGAAGATATGCAAATGATCAATGAACATATTAAAAAAGATTAACATCACTATCATCATGGAAATGCAAATTAAAGCCACAATGAAATACCATTTTACCCCAGTCAGTATGGCCATTATTAAAAAGCCAAAAACCCAATAGATATTGGCATGGATGTGGTGAAAAAGGAATGCTTATACACTGCCATGGGGAATGTAAATTAGTATTACCTCTATAGAAAATAGTAAGGACATTTCTCAAAGAACTAAAAGTAAATCTACCATTCAATTCAGCAATCCAACCACCGGGTATCTATTCAAAAGTAAAGAAGTCATTATATCAAAAAGACACCTGCATGCATATGTTTATTGCAGCAAAATTCACAATTGCAAAGATATGGAATCAACCTAAGTGCTCATCGACCAATGAGTAGATAAAGAAAATGTGAAATATGTGTGTGTGTCTGTGTGCATGTGTGTGTGTGTGTGTGTGTGTGTGTGTGTGTGTATACCACGGAATACTACTCAGCCGTAGAAAAGAATGAAATAATGTATTTTGCAGCAACTTGGAGGCCATTATTCTAAGTGAAATAACTCAGCCATTGAAAATTAAATCACACATGTTCTCACTTATAAGTGGGAGCTAAGCTACTAAGCTGTGGGAACACAAAGGCATACAGAGTGGTATAATGGACATTGAAGATTCACAAGTGGTGAGGACAAGAGGGAGGTGAGGGATTACCGACTACCTATTGAGTGCAGTGTACACTACCCCGGTGATGGGTATATGAAAATCTTAGATTTCACCACTACACAACTCATCCGTGTAACCAAAAACCATTTGTACCCCTAAAGCCATTGAAATAAAAAATAAAATATAAAAAAGAAAAATAAAAGCACAGTTCCACATAAAGCAATACATAAAAAAGTAAATAAAATCCTGGTTCAACTTTGAACAATAAAAAATCATAATATTTGGAATGTCTATCATCCTGAACTTTTTACTTTACATATGGAACACTACAATTCTCTTCTAGCTAGTTTGAAATATACGATACATTATTGTTAACTATAATTTCCTTATTGTACTATTCAATATTAGAACTTATTCCTTCTATCTAAATGTATTTTTGTACCTGTTAACCAATTTCTCTTTATCCACCACTCCCCCATTCCCTTCCCTCCTCTAGTAACCACTATTCTGCTCTTTACCTCTATGACATCCACTCTTTTAGCTCCCACATATATAAGAAAATATGCAATATTTGTCTTTCTATGTCTGACCATCCCACATATATAAGAAAATATGCAATATTTGTCTTTCTATGTCTGACCATATTGCACTTAACATAATGATTTCCAGTTTCATCCGTGTTGTTGCAAATGAAAGTATTTCATTCTTTTTTATGGTCGAATAATATTTTATGATGAATATATACGATATTTTTATCTATTTATTTGTTAACGAACACTTAGGTTGGTTCAGTATCTTGGTTATGGTGAGTAGTGCTTCAATAAACATGAAAGTGCAGATACCTCTTCAATATGCTGATTTCTTTTCTTTTTGGATATATACCTACGAGTGAGATCACTCGATCATATGGTAGTTCTATTTTTGGTTTTCTGAGGACACTTAATATTGTTTATCACAATGGCTGTGTTATTCTACATTTCCACCAACAGTGGACAAACGTTCCCCTTTTTTTGCACCCTCATTAGCATTTGTTATCCTTTGTCTTTTTGATAATAGCCATTTTAGTTGGGGTGAAATGACATCTCATTGTGGTTTTGGTTTGAATTTTCCTGATGATTAGTGATGCTCAGTGTTTTTAAAATAGATCTGTTGTTTATTTGTATGCCATCTTTGGACAAGTGTCTATTGTAATCATTTGTGGATTATAAAATTGGATTATTGTGTTTTTGTTATTGAGTTGTTTGAGTTCCTTATATATTCTGATTTTTGTCCCTTTTCAGATGGATAGTTTTCAAATACTTTCTCCCATGTTGTTGTTTGTCGCTTCACTTTGTTGATGTCTCCTTTGCTGTGCAGAAGCTTTTTAGCTTGATGTAACCTGCCTCATGTGCTCATTTTTGCATCTGTTGCCTGGGCCTTTGAGGTATTACTCAACAAATCTTTGATGAGAGTAATGTTCTGTTACATTTCCCCAATGTTTTATTTTAATATTTTCATAGTTTCAGGTCTTACATTTAAGTCTTTAATCCATTTTGAGTTGATATTTGTCTATGGTAAAGGATGGGGACCTGGTTTCATTCTTCTGTGTGTGGATATCCAGTTTTCCCGTCACCATTTATTAAAGAGACTGTCTTTCTCCAATGTATGTTCTTAGCACCTATGCTGAAAAGGAGTTGGCTGTTTAAGTGTATGGATTTATTTCTGGGTTATTTATTCTTTTCTGTTGCTCTACAAGTTTGTTTTTTTGCCAGACATAATGCCAACTCTTTTGGTTACTGTGGCTTTGTCATATAATTGGAAATCAGGTAGAGTGATGTCTTCAGCTTTGGTTTTTTACTCAATACTTCTTTGGCTATTTGGGGTCTTCTTTGGTTCCATATTAATTTTACAATTGCATTTTCTATTTCTGTGAAGAATGTCATTGGTATTTTGAAAGAGACTGCATTGAACCTGTAGATTACCTTGCGTAGGATAGCCAATTTTACAATATTAAACACAAAAGCATAGGATATCTTACCATTTTTTCTGTTCTCTTAAATTTTGTCCATCAGGGTTTTTTTAGTTTTTGTTATAGAGACCTTGCACTTATTCAGTTAAGTCTATTACCAGCATTTAATTTTGTTTGAGGCTATTTTAAGTGGGATTGCTTTTTATTTTTGTTTCAGATTGATCACTTTTAGCATATATAAATGTTACCAATTTTTCTATGTTGATTTTGTATCCTGAAGCTTTACTGAATTTGTTCATTAGTTCTAAGAGTATTTTGGTGGAGTTGTTAGGTTTTTCTTAGTATAAGATCATGTCATCAGCAAACAAGAATGATTTGACTTTTTTCTTTCTAATTTAGATGTTTTTATTTCTTTCTCTTGTCTAATGGCTCTGGTTAGAACTTCCAGTGTTATTTTGAATAGAAGTGGTAAAAATGGGCACCCTTATCCTATTAATTGGATATAATTTTAAATTATTGTCAAAAAGAAATCTTTGCAGTGTGTAGTAATATTGATGAGATTGTTTGCTTTTTTCCATTATAATTACACCCAAATAGTTGTCCATATGAATATCATACTAGAAATAATTTAGAATTAATAAATGGTATACATAGTGGCCACAGGAAAAAAGTTAAGTCTTAAAAAATGTCTTAGAAATTATATGATAGAATTGTGGATTAATTTATTTATTGAGAAATATTGTGAATGTTCAGTATTTTATTGATATTAGTCAATGTGGTCATTTAATATTAAGCTGATTTAATTTGTATAAAACGTCCACATTTTCAAAACTAGTATATTAGTACATATTAGAATATTGATTCAGTTCCCAATTGATACAATTAAATGTTTTATCATTCAAAGAGATAAACCGTTATAGCTCCATAACATTGAATTTAGAGTCCAGGTTGATATCTTTGATTTCCCAGTTATTATCTAGGGGATGGTGGGCAAATAGCTTAATTTCTGTTTTCGCAGGCTCTTTCTGAGGATTAAAAAAGTTAATAATCATAAAGGACTTTAGAACAGTACATGGCATATTGTGAGCATTCAGAAAATGATAACATTTATTTGTCTATTACTTTATTTATATGAAAATGGCTGTTGGAATGTAGCTAAACAAAAAATAAGAACAATATCTTTTAAGGCATCAGGACATTAAAAGGTATAGTCAATGCATCCATAAGTATAAATGAAAGGTAGGAATTTATTCTTATTCAATTGCTCAATTTAAAATATCCTTAGTGAAGTGAACTATTTTTATGCTACTAGTGAGAGTATAAATTAATAGTAGAATGTTTTGAATGAAATTTTAAGAATACTAACAGAAGCCTTAAAAATACCCATACCATTGACCCGGAAATTTATTTAACTTAGGAAGTTATACTAAGGAAACTGCAAGAAGACTTCTATGCTATGTGATGCAGTTTCACCACTGCCATCATTGTCTTTTCTATTGCTGCAGGTTATGTCATGCTCAACTATCACTCTCAACTATGGAGTCTCTTACCTGCTGAAATGCAGTCTCCCAAATCCTGAGGAATTAAAATTTCATTATCCTAACATCTTAATTTTATTGCTTGTGTCTCCCCTGGACCCCTTCAGGTTTCCAAGATCAAGAAAATAGAGTCCTGGCAGAGCGATACTTCAGGTCCTTGACTCCAATGCAGAGATCCGCAAATGTACACTGCTTGGCCTCCCCTGCTTGGTGAGTTGGTGTTCTGTGCCTTCTTATTAACAAGGTGACAGATTAGGAAAGAAGTGTAATTTCAATTGGCTTTTCTAATGTGATCTTTGTCAACTATATTTTGATATCTCACTGGTGAATGACAGGAGTCATGAAGGCATCTGTGATCTTTATGAGGCTGAATGTATCAACCTTCAAAACATGTTGGCAGCAGCATATGCCAAAAAAAGGGTATGGATACAGGGATACCAGTTCAGGCCTGTTACAGTATGTGAGGAGTGGTATTAGCTTAGCCTAGACTGCTGTTAGTGTAGAATAAGATAATTAAAAAATGTTAAGAAGTAATTTGGAAATAAATCAGCAAGACTTAGTTGATTAACTTGATGGCAAGAGTATGAGAATAGAAGGTCTTATCAGGTTATCAGAAATGACTTTTAGTTTTCTGATTCAAGAAATCTAGCTGTATAATGGTGACATTTCCATAGATGGGGAAGTTTACTGGGGAAAATAAGACAGAGATGAACAGTTGAATTTTAATTATTCTATTTGAGATTCACGTGAGTTTTCCAAGTAGGAATGTAAGATATGCAGTTGTATGTACTAATTAGGGTAGATTTCTAAGTCTAAGATGTAAAATTGAGATACAACAGCAAATAGATGGTATACAAAGCTATAGGAGTAGATAAGGTAGCTAAGGAATAGTTGTGAGCACGAGAGGAAAATAGGGCTTAACATACAGTCTTGAGTAATTTTAACAATAATGTGTCAGATATAACAGAAGAGGATGAACTGGCAAAGGACATTAAAATAAACAGATAAAAAGATAAGAGGAAATTCAGGAGAGTGCGATTTACTAGAATCCAAGAGCAAAGAATGCTTTAAGAACAACATTGTAAATACTGTCAAATGTTTAGAGGCCAAGACCAGGCCAACTGAACTGAGTATAATGATATGACTATCATTGGTGAAGGTAGTATGATAAGTTTTAGTAGAATATTGGGAACAGACGTCAAATGAGTTGGTGAAATATTGTTCAAGAGGTAAAAATGGCAACAAAGAGTGCAGAAAACTCCTTCTACAAGTTAGGCTATGAAGGGCAGGAGATGGAGCAGTAGGTGGGAGAGGACATTGAATCCAAGGAGTTACCATTATTTAAAAAGAAAGAGTAGGCAAATGGGCAGCACAGAAGAAGAAGCTGAAAATACAGGGATGGGGTAAAAACTGATAAGACCTCTGGATCTCTGATAAATGAGAGAGAAGGATTGAGGGACAAAGGATCAAGAGTATAGATGTTGTAATCATGCTTCTATTTAGTTTTCTCCCATGATTCTCGCAATAATTTTCTCACCATTCCTCTTTCTTATGACCAACTAAGAATTCTGTTATTCTGGTCTGTAAAGTTTGTGTGTACTATGCTCTTGTGACTCCTACAAAGTTAGAATGATAGAGTCTTTAGAAGATGGGCTTTGGAACCAGTCAGGCCCACTTTGACTCATTTTTTCTACTCCTTTATTATTGCTTAAACTTGGGCAAGTTGAAAAATCTTAAAGTTTCTTCATATTTAAAACATGAACAAAAATAACTACCAGGAATAATGTATTAAATAAGATAATGCATGTGAAACACTTAGCACAATATCTGATATATAGTAAGTTTTTGTTCCATGCAATGCAATAGACTTGCTGCCAGCTCACAATAATGGCATCTTGGCAAAGCCAGTTGTGAACCTGAATTGTAAATATATTAACTGCATCCCTATTACATCCACATTTTAAACAGTTTGCAACCTTGTGGGCCAAACTGAAATCACCAAATATATTTTATTTATTCCACAGAATCTAAAAAATACTTTACATTTTTGCCAGCATTTAAAAGTCAGGAGATTTTACATATATATTTGGATTTTTAACTTCTCATGAACATTGGTAGATTTGCACTTATGTATGAAAACACAAGATCATGCTAATAGCTTCATTAGTTCTGTTTACCTGCTTTACTGCTGAAGGCACTAGAGTTTACAGCCCCTATAATAAGACATCCCTAAACCTTGAGGCTGTTGCTCAGCAAGAGATCAAATTCATGCCTTTAGCAAAGTTTTCGTAGACATTCATTCAGCTATTTGTAAAATAATTGAGAACAAACCTCTATTTTAAACTGTATTTTGGTCTAATATATATAATTTACAAATAAAAAAATATCAGAAATCAAATTCTCTCCTTAGACACGTATTTTTATCTGGAGTATTTGCAAGTAGGAGGACTGACAAGAGAGAAATAACCTTATTTTTATATTTTAAAGCTAGCTATGAATATCATTTAATTTTTTTTCTCCTAACTACAATTTTAAGTTCAGGTGCTACATGTGCAGGTTTGTTACATGGGTAAATTGTGTGTCGTGGGGTTTTCTTGTACAAATGATTTTATCATCCAGGTACTGAGCATAGTATCCAATAGGTAGTTTTTTGATCCTCACCCTTCTCACAGTCTCTATCCTCAAGTAATAGCTAGTGTCTACTGTTTCCCTCTTTGTGTCCGTGTGTACTCAATATTTAACTCCCACTTATAAAGGAGAACACGCAGTATTTGGTTTCCTGTTCCTGCTTTAATTGGGTTAGGATAATGGCCTCCAGTTGCATCCATGTTGCCGCAAAGGACGGGATTTTATTCCTTTTTATGGCTGCATAGTAGATACATGCATGCGTTTGTTCATTGCAGCACTTTTCACTATCACAAAAATGTGGAATCAACCTAGATGGCCATTAATGGTGGACTGGATAAAGAAAATGTGGTACACATACACCAGTAAATAACTTTAGACTTTGATTAAAAATAATCTCTTCAACATCCTGATCTACCTTCATGTCTAGATTTAAAATAACTTTTATAGGGTCAGTCAGGAAAGCACTTCACCAAAATTAAAGCTCAGAAATAACGTATCAAAATGTTCAGGCCTATTGCCCATCTTACTATCTACTGTAAAGTGACCACTTTCCAATAAATGACCCTCATCGAGTGAGAGCAGAGAGACCAAAGGTTACGTGAGCTTTTCTTTTATTTGATAAATGGTGTCTAATATTATATCCAGCAATCTTCTTCTGTCAGTTTTGCTGCTAGGCAATGACCAGTGCCTTGGGAAATCAATAATACTGTTCAAGTTTATTTTAATTAGAAAATTGTTACAGTTTATTCCTTAATAATAGATGGCTGTCATACTTACTACCTACATATTAAAATTAAAAATCAGTAGAGTCTTTTCAACTATAAAAACATATTCGCCTACCTCACACTAATATTCTTAAATTAGGGGAGTCAATCATATGTATATGCCAGAGAAACAAAAGGAATAATATTACCTAGAACCCTTTGTGGTTCTGTTTTTCCAACACTTGTTACCAAGTCTCTGAATTGAATTTCCATGTCTTGAAATATCTAAGGTAGTTTCTATTTTCCTGATCAGGTACTGACTAATAATTCCGATGACAACAGTAAGTAGGTATAGCGGCAAGGAAGTGTTAGTGATATGGTTTGGGTCTGTGTCCCCACACAAATTTTATGTGGAATAATAATGCCCAATGTTGGAAGACGGGCCTGGTGGGAGGCGACTGAATCATGGGAGTGGATTTTCCCCTTGTTCTTGTAATAGAGAGTGAGTTCTCACAAGATCTGATTGTTTAAAAGTGTATACTATCTCCCCCTTCTCTATCTCTTCCTCCTGCTCGTTCCACGTAAGTCATGTCTGCTTTCCCTTACCTTTCTGCCAGGATTGTAAGTTTCCCTAGGCCTCCTCGGCCATGCTCTCCATACAGCCTGCAGAACTCTGAACCAGTTAAAGTTTCTCTTTTGTCTATAAATTACCTAGTTTCAGGTATTTTTGTATAGCAGTGCAATAACAGACTAATACAGTTAGTTACAGTGAAATGCCTCCTACCACCATTTAAACACTGATTTTCTACTTTAATCTCACCACATGCATACAAATAAACATATACAAATTAGAACTACTGTATATAAAATGGTGAGTCTCAGATATCAACACTGGTCAAGTCTATTCATAGCCAAGAAATATAAAATCTTAGCTATCAGACTTTCAACATTTCTAGTTCCATTTGTAAGAACATATCAGGTTATTTTAAACTGATATCACTTAGTATTTTGCTCATCTAGCTCATATTGTTTTGACTCAAAGCACAGAAAACAACCTAAGTATGATTTAATTTCCAGTGTTTGGTTACTACTGGAAACAACATGCCAAAAATAATTAAAATTAATACCAGATGTTTTTGGAGTTGAATTAATATAGTATTTTTAAAATTTAGATTTGTTTTGTGTTTGGCTTAATTACAAGGAGAGAATGCATTGATAATACCAACACAAATATGTTATTTTGCATGATAGTAAGTAAGTCAATGATCTGGAATCTTGTTCCCCAGGTCTTGGGTGTCTGTGACTAGTTTTAGTCAGACTTTCAGGTCCTGATTATATCTGGACAAGAATGTATGTTTGAATTGTAAAGGGATCTCCAGATTCTAGAATATGGTATTTCAAAGTCAGATATTGCAAAACTCTAGCCAGCTTTCCCCTAGACAACATTGCTAGAGGGGTATGACAGTGGGGAAAACTACATTGACATGAACTTGTTTACTGTTTTTGTTTTACTTCAAAACAAACGAAGACAGGAGAAATATGAATTGAGAGGATATAGAAAACATAGACTAATGGATTTGAATATATATTGCTTAATGTTTGTCCAGTGTTTTAAGACTAAGCCTGGTAAAAAACACAAAGTTAATAGTATCTTCTTTTTTAAGAACATATCAGAGAGGGCAGTGTGCTCTTAAGTAAGAAGATACATTAACTGTGTGTTAGTAATACTCAGTATGATAGTAATGTGTACCAAAGTGCTAAATCTCTAGAATCCTACACGTATCCAATGATTTTCAAGAGGCAAACAGGTATGTTGTGCAAATTGAAAACAAAAAGATATTCAAGCAGAGTTTCAAGGATATTGGGGAAATATTTGAA